GAAGAAGAAGAAGAAGAAGAAGAAGAAGAAGAGACGACAGAAGAGAAGCGTGGAGGGTATCGGGGCGCCTTGCGGCTGGCATTGGTAGCAGTCTCGAGATAGCCGCCGGCTGGCTTCCTCACCGCCTCGGGGGATTTATTCGGGGATTCCGAGCGTGAAGTGGTGAACGATATATCCAGTGGCTGATCTATCGATTCATTGCGTACATCCAGTGATCAGCGTGGTGACAAGAGTCGCGATCTACTTCCGTTCTCTCGTCGATGATAAAAATTTCGACAAGCCGGGCTCTGAACGTGTTTAACTCTGGAGGTGAGTCCGTCCGTAGCATTTTCATCACCTTCTTTTTCGTACGTTCGTTCTTTCCTCTTTCGCTGGCCATCGTGTCAGCTCGTCGTCGTGCTATTTTCGTGAGTGTTGTGCAAGTGTCGATCTCGCATTCAAGCGGTACGCGAACAGCGTGTTGGCTTCGCGTTTGGATCCACTATTCGAACCCCATTCCGCCGGGCTCCTCGAAGCTCCTCCACTTCCTCGTTCGCCCACCTTCTGCTACGCAGAATCTACTGTTTCTCTTTCACTGTCATCGACAGATTTTTCGTCACAAATCGTGGCTGGCCTTGGACAATGTTGCCTGCCTGTGCTCGCTGAATTTCGACCGATTATTTCGAGACCAGTTGTTCTTCCAGCAGCGTCGCAGCACCTTTAGGATATCAGTGACGTGAATTATTGAATAATTGAATAATTGAAAAACAAGTTACCACACACCGAAATTTATGCGAGCACAGCCTTGTCTTGTTATTGTTGAACTTCTCTATTGCACATCGGATGATCTTTCTGTTTTTCAAGAAAAATTATGTTAAAATGAAATTACTAATTGCATTCTGTATAGAAAAAGTAATGCATTTTGATGATCATTTTGATGATAGATAGGAAAGTTGAAGAAGTTAGATTGAAACATTCAGGCAACAAGAAAGTAATTGATCAAAAATTATTTCCAACGTCTCGATCCTGGAAAATCGGAATACTTATACACCGACGAAGTCACCGGAATGACAGATATAAAATGCTGTCAACTTGCCACGCGGAAGCATAAGGTATAACAAATCTTCAACTGATCCCTCGTTCACCGTGAAAACTTCCACGATCAATAGTTCTCTTTCTCTCAGATGAAAGTAACAGATCGTTTGTTTTCTTGAAATAGCTAGTTAAAGCTAATAACTGCAAAAATGTTGACTCGTCTTCCGTGTAAAACGGTCTACTGAAATTCATCTTTCTTTTGCGCTTGAAACAAATTATCGAGGAGAAAACAAAGCTATATTAACCAGATGAGAGCCGAAACATCAGGACGGTGATCCTGACCTACGAATAACGTCGTAAAACGTCGCGATGAAATGAAATTCTGTATTGCATGTCCAAGGTGCCTCGTGAAATAGCTGTGCTATTTTGCTGACACAGTTTCCTCCGCGACACGGCACATCCAATGAATTAAACCATGAAACGGCCCACTCGAAGGCCAAGTTTTTAGCTTCGCGGAAAGATGACTAAACGAGCGTGGCCGCGAGGAAGGTGCACGCCCACGCGTTTCCAAGGTGCAGCACTCGAAATATCTGGCTGCGATATGTCTTGTTGAGACACAACAAATTGCTGCAACACACACCTTCGATAATACAAGTCAATTTTACGATGATGTGATATTTATTTGAAGTTTTCTTTTTTGTATACACGATTATCTATACTCTATATAGAATCCCGTCTCTCCGCTTTTGAACCATTCGACCGCCTAAAAAAAGAATTCGGTCGGATCTACGCGGTAACATCGACGTTTGGTTTAACTGGACAAGCAGAACAAGTTTATCATCATTTGATTGTACCAAAACTATGATGGGATATATTTATCGATGGCTTAATGTTTACTTTCCCGTTATCCCTTAAAAGATTATTTAAAAAATTCGTGAGTTAGATGATTATTAGAAAGTTAGGAACTTCGTTTCACAGATTATGAAAATTTATTGATTCGTCGATTGTACAAGTAAAAAAAAAAAAGAAAAGTAACGATTCAAATCATTTTTAGTTTATTTCAGTCAAATTTCTATTCTGTTAGGCCTATAAAATGAGTACGTTCTCATTGTGGTGGTGCTGCTCCAATAATACTACTTCGCGCT